TTGCAGTTTTCCATGCCTATATGGGTCTGTGGACCCGTTTCCCTATGCGAGTAGTCACTCTGCTATGTTTTTATTCAATAAACGGTTTACTTACTACACTAGGAGAGTTTTTTTATTTCATTTCCATGTGTTTGGCTGTTGGAGAGGAGAGAGTTTTGTCCATATCCATGTGGGGACTTCTGAGTTTTACTGCTGGTATGTTGATGAGTGTCTACCATCGCCACTATAGAGGATTGCCCTGATCATTACCGAAGGGGTATCCTCATCGGATGAATGTATTTTTAGCCTTATGACCCCTTGCGGGTTGCAACCTGGAGGCGAGAGCACACACTAGCTGGTGGAGGTGTTGCTGTGTTTTTTGTGGTCACTGGATGTTCCACGGCTTCTTTTGAAGATACACAGAGTCATTGGAATGGTGCACTTTATTATGGCATTTTTCACATTTACTCATATATTCTTCATGTATTTATGATCTTTATGGCACCCATTTACTCATTATTGTTCACGTATCATTACTGTCATTCTGTTCACACTGGGTGTTTTTAGTGATCCATCCAAAAAAATATATATATATATGATAAACATTTTGGATCACAATCATTTTTCATGTGATTTATCATCCTATGTTCACTTCATTCGTTAATTTTCTTGCTCACTCATTTTATCACAAGTTTTTTTGTGCTTTTATATATTTCATTTGCACCTATTTTACTTTGATTCATCATTACTTAGTGGTCTGTTTGATTGGGTAGCACAGTATAATTTTTCCCATCCACTTTTCTCACACTATTGGTATTATAGGCAGGTGTTATCAGCCACCCGGTTCTGTTGTAAGCATTGGCAGCGCAGGACGAATTTATGGTTTTGCTTTAGTAACAGCAATATCCTTGCATGCGAATCCCTTGCAAAGCAATGATGACTGCACGTGTCTCCTTGCAGGTAAATTAATATCTATGTCATTCACAAAACTTTTGGCCAGGGCTGTACATATCAGTTCCTGTCCTAAAGGAGATTACAAACTAAGGTCTGCTATTGGTCTATCCATTAAATACATGTGCCTCTACTATGAGGGTCATAAAATTTGTAGAATTAGGAACTACAGAATATTGGGGTGTCGTGACAAGGCTCTGCAGTGTACGCATGCATTTGCAAATGTGTGCTAACTAGACCCCTGTTTTTAACACATACTGTTAGGTTAATTTGGTTTGTTTGCAAGGTGAGCTGGGAATTTTTCTTTTGTGTTGTTTAACATGTGTCACCCCTCCATGTGCTCCTTGCTGTGAAGGCAAGTTATAGACTGGGACAGTGGCCATTTTTTGTACTTACAAACTACGGTCCCCATCTCACAGATATACAGCACATATATGCACATACTAGGGCCAAAATCTGCCAGCATGTCTAGAGTGTGGGTGAAAACCAGAGTATCCTGAGGAAACCCACACAATCTCCACTCCATCCAAATAGCATCCTTGCCAGGATCCAAACCCCAGGGCTGAAAGGCACAAGTCCTGAAGTCACTTTTAATGGTTTTTTGCATACACTTTATGGTACCAATTTTTGTAGCATTTTGTACATAAAAAAAAAATCAATAAAAAATTATTATTATACAGGCCCTGCTCATGGAACTTACAATTTAAAAGGGAGCAGGCAGTGGTATAAAAAGGTAAAAGCTGCAGGGGATGATCTGATGGAGGTGACTCAAGTACAGTTCTTAGGTGGAGGTGGGGGGTAGGCTGGATAGGAGCTGACCGAACCTATTGGGGCAGGGAGTTCCAGGGGATGGGAAAGGCTCTGGAGAAGTCCTGGAGGCGAGCATGTGAGGAGGTAACAAGGGAGCTAGAGAGTAGGAGGTCTTGTGAAGAGTGGAGAGGACAGTTTCGGTGATAACCGCAGATGATGTTGGGTGATGTAGCTTGGGGGCGATGCTGTGGATGGCCTTGTACGTAGTGGTTAGTATTTTGAATTTTATAAGATGGGGTAGGGGAAGCGGCAGTAACGAAGGGGTTAGTAAGGTGACTGCTCAGCATTCATAATAGACTAAAGGGGGACAGCTTGGGTAAGGGTAGGCCAGTGAGGAGGGAGTTCCAGTAGTCAAGGTTATTTTATTTTATTAAATACCACTGGATTCCGGTGCGGTTATGTTTGCGATTCTATGGGATATCCATGGAGGAGGTAATAAAATAAAGCACTTTTTGGCAGAAATCAAACACACTTCACCCGGTTCACTCTTCTGCAGTCTACCCACCTCTGTATCTTTTACACCCTCTGCTGGAGTGGAACCCTGTGAGCATATGCACCAATGCAGTCATAAAAATAAACAGAACACTCTTATTCTGCAAAGTTCTTCAAACAGACAAGCATTTCATTTCTACAATAATGTCCTTGTGCATGCACAGTAGCAGGCAGGATACCACACTTTCAAAGGTTGTAATTGCCGCCCAGAAGCAAGCAGACCACAACAAGGAAAACCAATTCAGGCTGGTGTAGGATATGTATGAATATTTATTTAATGTTTTGCCCAGGGAGTTCTTTGGGGGCCCGTCACCTACAGTTCAGTAACCCTTTAAAGAAGAAGTGTCTCAAAGCAAAGATAACAATCCACCCAGTTAATTTATTTGGTGAAAACTGTAACTTTTTTGTTACCAGAAGGCTTTGATGCCTAGCTGCCCAGCCTAAATTTAGCTGCATCAACATGTGTCGCTTAACTTAGCAGTAACTCTGTGTCTAGTTTATATGTCTAAATGTAAGAAAGCTTTTATTTGCTACACTTTTTAATTATAAAAAATAAAAATAAAACTCCACACTTGTTTTTATTATTTTTAAATAGTGCCCCTGCATCTGACAGTTAAACTACTGCTGCCATACAATAGTCAGTATTATTCTGAAGGCTTACATTTCTGTTAACAAAACCTCTAGCCTGCATGTGATAACTATAGCTGACATAGCGGTCACATGATTGGGAACAACACGTCAGTAGGGACCCTGGCTGTTGGTGACAGCTAGGATTTTGAAAGTAAGGCTAGCCATACATTATATAATTTTTCTCTCCTTCAACTTCAGGTTGAAGGAAAGAAAAATTATTTGATTTTCCCATCAACACTGATCAATAGATCGACTTCAACACAGACAGCCTGCCCAAAGGTAAATGAAAATTGGTCTTCTTCCTGCTGAACCAGCTGAATTTCTATCCATCTATGGCTGGCTTAAGCAGCTGCACAAAGCAGTTCTCAAAAGGGAAGAACATTTATTATTATCCTTGCTGAGGGACTTTGTGCTTCTCATATTTCAGGTGGGAAGGGGTTAGGATGACTGGAAATCTGTGGAAGCCATGGTATATCTTTACATGTTCCACCACTAACAGTTATGACATGCTGGGCAGTATCCATGCAGAGGCCCTGAATTCTTAACTTCTCTCACTTGAGTAACTGATAGAGCTACAATTGGACCCCTCTTCTCTTTACATACACTGTTGCAGTCTTAACTGAAATTGCATTGAGTAGCGTTACTTGGCATAACAAATAGTTTGTAGCATAGCTACTAAACGCTCCCACCCCCTTCCTCCCATTTTGGGCACTCTACAATGCCTAGCCTAACTTCCTTTCCTCATATCTCTGATATCATTCCCTCAAAATCACTGGACATTGTCAACAACACCTAGTATTGTTAAGAATTGCACAGTATAAGTGACATATCAGACTGGATGTCACTCCACTTCCTCAAACTCAACCTTTCCAAAACGGAGCTTCTAGTATTCCCCCCAGCCCGTGCCCCCCCCCCCCCCCGACTTCTCCATCAAGATCAACAACACTATCATCAGTCCCACCCCTCATGCCATTGTACTAGGTGTAATCCTAGACTCCAATCTGTCCTTTCAGCCCCAGGTCCAATCACTGACAAACTCATGTAGACGTCACCTCCGCAACAGCTCCAAGATACGACCGTTCCTAACCTCGGAAACCACTAAGCAACTCATTTACTCCCTTATTATATCACGCCTTGACTACTATAACTCCCTCCTCACTGGCCTACCTCATCGCAGGCTATCCCGGCTTCAGTCCATCATGAATGCTGCTGCCAGACTCATTCATCTTACTAACTGTTCTGTATCTGCTACCCCTCTCGCCAATCCCTCCACTGGCTCCCAATTGCCCAACGGATAAAATTCAAAACACTAAAAACTGACATACAAAGCCATTCATAACACTGCCCCTGATTACATCACCAACCTTGTCTCTAAATACCACCCAAACCGTACTCTCCACTCCTCGCAAGACCTCCTACTCTCTAGCTCCCTTGTCTCCTCCTCCCATGCCCGTCTCCAGGATTTCTCAAGGGCTTCACCCATCTTCTGGAACTCCCTACCCCAAATCTATCATGCTATTGCCTACTCTGCTCACTTTTAGGCGCACTCTGAAAACCCATCTCTTCAGGGAAGTCTACACCGACCCTCGCTAATACTGGAATCCTATACTCTTCCTACCACTCCATCCCCCACAGCTAATTACCTCTTGTACCACTATCTCCTCCCTCCTAGACTGTAAGCTCCAAGGAGCAGGGCCCTCTAATCCCTCTTGTATTGAACTGTATTGTTACTGTACTGTCTCCCTCCATAATGTAATGCGCTGAGCAAACTGTCGGTGCTATATAAGTCCTGTATAATAATAATATGGCACTCTTCAATGCAACACTACTGGGGCATGTTGATTGGTCACATGGTAACACAGGCCCCAACCACTGCATCAAGAAAAGGCAGGCGACATTTCATTTGCTTCCCCCTTACAGGGATTTTCACACAGCGATGACGAGCTGAGGGGTAGGGGAGTGGCAGTAAAATTACAAGAACCAGAGGTGCCTTGGAAGTGACAGTGGTGGATTAGGATTTTTGGTGATGCGTCATGACAAGATAACTTTACGTGACTGATCAGAATACAAAATAATTGTATAAGTTACTGATGCATTCTTTATTTTAATGATAAAATCATATAAACACATATACTTACCATAGAAGCATTACTAGGGTGCTTGGCAAGGTCTACAGTGCCTCGAGCAGCTTTCAGCTGTTTTTCCCTTTCTTTACGACTCTCTGCCTTCTTACGGGCACCTGTCTTCTTTTTCGGCATTTTGAAAGCACTACCTGTCAAAAGAAAATAGCCTGCTTTGATTTTATTACCCACCATCTTATCAAAAAAAGTTTATTAAAAAAAAAAAAAGGTATAATTTCCTGTTTAGGCATTAAACATTTTGATAAAATAGATCTGAACACAGAGTTCACACCACCAGTTGCAAACAGAAGGATTTTTTTTTACCCTAATGCATAAAATGCAATAAAACCTTCTACCTCTAGATCCACTTTAAAGCTGAACTCTGAAATCCCTCACCAGCATCTTCTACACAGCTTTTTCCTAACGCCAGTCTGTGGCCATCTTGAGTGTAGTCATCCTGGCATAAAGACACTGTGCTGGTATGTAAACTGAGCTGCGTAAGCACAGCTCCATGTACCTACTACAGAAACCTGTGAGCAGGCAGGTACGTTTATCTTGCTGCAAAAGAGACATTGCTTGTCATGTTACTCAATGAAGAGCCTGCCTGCTCACATTTTTTTTTTTTTTTTTTTTTAATTAAATGGTTTACATCCTGAATAAACAGTTTGACAAGATACATCACCTCGCAGGATTAGTAGTAACATACACAATTATGGTTCGACAAGTTACCATAGGTAATACTGCATAATCACCATAGAAAACTAAATTTATAAGTTATCAATTTAACATCTCTCAAAAATTCTATTTTGTATTCAGGAATCAGCAGTGATATACACCATTGCACATTAGCAAAAACTCAAAGTTCAACTTGCACTCTAAGTTAAGTCAATATCACTGGGAATGGATGTTCCGTCAGTCACACATACTATGTCGGCGCACACCAATTTTTTCAATATATAAATTAGGAGAGTAGGAGAGGATGAGGAGCCATCTTAGGAGGGAAAGAAGAGAGGGCTGGAAGAGGGGGTTGGAAGGGGGGGGGGGGGGGGGGGAGTGGGAGGGGAGAATCCCCCACCAGGAGAATAAACCCCCACAAGAGGGGTGGAAAAGGGCCAGAGAGGGGGAGGGGGAGCTGGGACACTCGCTATGCAAAATGAACAAATGTGGATATGAACTTATGTGTACTGGAGGTACTGATCAAAGGATCAAAATAGGTCCCAGTAGAACCACCTCAGTTTAATCCAGTAGGGCAGAGGTAAATTGCTCCATGCTTTGTATATCATTCCCCTGACAAACTGCTGTGCTAGAAGAGGTGGGGACTGCTGTTTCCACATTAGGGACACTAACTCTAGCAACATTTAGTAAATGTTTATGAGAGATTTATGATAGTGATTTTCTGGACAGAGGTGTCAGGTTTAATAAAACAGCAGGTGGATTGTAGAAAAGGGAGAAGACTGTGAATTTTTGGATTAAAGTGATTGTAAAGGCAGACGGTTCTTGTACCTTCATGCATTCTCTGATTTAAGATAATCCCCAGCACCCCCCCCCCCTTAAACTTACTTGAGCCCAATCTTGATCTAGCGATGTGCATAAAAGAAGCAACTCTCTCTCCTCACTGGGAAGAGAGGGAGCAGTGAGAGCCATTGGCCACTGCTGCCAATTACAATGAGCAGAGAGCAGGGGGGGTAGCGCCAGGCCCGCATGAGTGCCCCCATAGCAAGTGGCTTGCTAAGGGGACAATCAGAAGGGATAAAGAGCCAGGAGTGTCCGTGGGGGACCCTAAAAGAGGAGGATCAAGCTGCTCTGTGCAAAACCCTAGCACAGAGCAGGTATGATATGTTTGTAAACCTAATTTAAGAAAAAATTGCTTTAAAGTGGAAGATTTGCTGCCTAAAAGATATGATAGGGCATTCCCAGAAAATGTGTAGAAGCGTGCCTCTGTGGGTTCCACATCTCTAGCATAGGTCAGCCAGTCAGATGGGGCCCTGGCCATCTTCAGCCAGTCAGATGGGGCCCTGGCCATCTTCAGCCAGTCAGATGGGGCCCTGGCCATCTTCAGCCAGTCAGATGGGGCCCTGGCCATCTTCAGCCAGTCAGATGGGGCCCTGGCCATCTTCAGCCAGTCAGATGGGGCCCTGGCCATCTTCAGCCAGTCAGATGGGGCCCTGGCCATCTTCAGCCAGTCAGATGGGGCCCTGGCCAACTTCAGCCAGTCAGATGGGGCCCTGGCCATCTTCAGCCAGTCAGATGGGGCCCTGGCCATCTTCAGCCAGTCAGATGGGGCCCTGGCCAACTTCAGCCAGTCAGATGGGGCCCTGGCCATCTTCAGCCAGTCAGATGGGGCCCTGGCCATCTTCAGCCAGTCAGATGGGGCCCTGGCCATCTTCAGCCAGTCAGATGGGGCCCTGGCCATATATATAGCTTTAGTCAATCAAAAAGCAATTGTAACAGGGGTAGCAAGCTTTAGCACAGAGTGCACAATACTGCCTTAAAATGACCCAGGGAGACACAAAATAACTAAGAATGAATCTCTGAATAAAATACACACAGAGCATTTGTTGCCCAGAGCTGAAATCACAGACAAATAAAGGGATAACAAGCTGCATTTTGCATACTGGAGATTAGGAATAGAAATGAAGAAGGACAGAGGTGCAAAGCCTGGGAGTGTCCCTGGTAATGGAGGCCTGTCAGTACGAGGAAGGGGTCCATGACGGAGCATGGCAGTAACATGACATACTCTACTAGGCGTTAGTAGCAGCTAATCAGACGCGTACGGCAGATCCCGAGAGACAGTCATGACATACCTGAGGGCCCTATGTACTAGTAATGTCACATCTAGCGTGCACCGGAAACGACACACCGCTGGCAGAGACCCCGGCAGCACACTATACTCACGCACTACGTTAATTCAGTAAGGCAAGCCAATAGCTGAGCCGCTCTCAGTTTGCTCCGCCCAACTAAGTATGTACAGAGTACTCTGATAGGCTAAACCGAGTTCTTCCCAGAGAGTCATAGGACAAGGGAAGGCGCTAGAGGAAGGAATCTCTTTATTTAGTGTCTCCAGTGGTGTAGCCATAAAGATGTCTCCTGGAAATACGCTGAATTGTCGGAGATGTTTGTTAAAGAGGTACTTCAGTTAAAAATAAAAGTCATCAGCTACATATACTGTAGCTGCGGACTTTGCATTGACAGATACCTGTTTAATGATCCAGTGCTGTCCTCAATTCACCAGGGTTTGGGTTCCCAGCCTCGCCATGTTTACTGTGGGTGCCAGCTGTGACTCTGCGGGGACGTACCACACTGCATATTGGGATGATTGAATGATTGGCTGCAATGCTCAACACTCTCATTAGGTGTCAGTATATTTTTACACACATACTGTACATGGTCATGATGTTGTTGTTACACAAAATATGTTTTTCTTTCCTGCAGTGCTCGATACTATGTTGCAAGAAGTAGTGGCTCATGTTTAACTCTTCATTTACTGATGTATGTGCAGCTGTAAAAATGGCATCATAGTAATTATACAGAAATAATGGAAACATTACTGATTTCATACACTACATATATGCGTAAAGCACTACATTTTGAACTGTTTTATTAGGAACCTGGAAAATTATGTTTAACAAATTAAGATGAAAAAAATGACGATTAAAAAATTACAAACGCCAAGGAAAAAAATGATTAAAAATTACAAACGCCAAGGAAACAAATGATTAAAAATTACAAATGCCAAGGAAAAAAATGATTAAAATTACAAACGCCAAGGAAAAAAAATGAGGATTAACCACTTGCTCTCCAGAGGCTTTACCCCCCTTAATGACCAAGTGTTGGATTTTTAGACACATATAATACTGCTTCTAGTTTTTTCCTCTTTTTGCTACTCGGCGCTGCACTAATTCGACTGATTATTGCGCGGTCATGCAATGCTGCACCCAAACAAAATTTATGTCCTTTTTTTTCACACAAATAGAGCTTTCTTTCTGTGGTATTTGATCACCTGTGCGGTTTATATATTTCACGCTATAAACAAAAAAAGACTGGAAATTGTGAAGAAAAATTATATTTTTTACTTTCGGCTATAAAATATATATAGTAAACTCAAAGTTAGTTATAAATTTAGGCCAAAATGTATTCTGCTACATGTTTTTGGTAAAAAAAATCCCAATAAGTGTATATTGATTGCTTTGTGTGAACATTATAGCGTCTACAAACTATTTTGCTATACAGCACTGCACTAGTTTAACTGACAATTGCGTGGTCATGAAATAAAGTACATAAATGAAATTTATGTTCTTTTTTTCACACAAATAGAGCTTTCTTTTGGTGGTATTTGATCACCTGTTCGCTTTTTATTTTTGGTGCTATAAACAAAGAAAAATTTTTTCTGTCATAAAAAATATCCAAAAAAACTAAAATTTCATCATAAATTTAGGCCGAAATGTATTCTGCTACATGTTTAAAAAAAATCCCAATAAGTGTACATTGATTGCTTTGTATGAAAGTTATAGCGTCTACAAACTATGGTATAGATAATGGAATTTACACAGCTTTTACTTTCTGACCGCCCATCACATTTTTTGAGGTGCTAAAATACCAGGATAGTACAAACACCCCCAAATGACCCCTTTTTAGAAAGTAGACACCATAAGCTATCTGCTGAGAGGCATATTGAGTCCATGGAAGATTTATTTTTTTTCCACAAGTTTTTGGAAAATGACAAAAACATTTTTTTTTTTTACACAAAGTTGTCATTTAAATTATATATTTTTCACACAAGCCATGGGTATATGTGGAATTACACCCCAAACACATTCTGCTACTTCTACTTTTGTGGGAGCCTAGCCACATACAGGAGCTTGAAATCTAATGACCACTTTGAAAGCTTGAAGGTGCATAACTTCCTGATTTCACTTCCTCTCTACCTATCACAATTTCGGAGGCCCTGAAATGCCAGCATAACACCAACCCACCCCCCACCCCCCCAAATGACCCCTTTTTGTAAAGTAGACACCCCAAGGAATTTAAA